TTTGAAGTGCAACTCTAAGCATCATCAGAATTTATTTTATCTTAGCATGAAATAAATATAACTAGTTATACTAATGAAATCATTTTTATTTTCAGTTTTAAAATGATGAAGGGAGATGGTATCAACCTAAATCATATCATAATAGAGAAATGATATAGAGGTTAATATGATTTCTGCGTTCTGTGGTTCCATAAAGAGATTTATGTTCCTATTAGGTCCGAGGGCACGTATCTCACATCGGTTGGGAAAGCAACTTTATAAAGAAAAGGAAAGTCAAATAGGTACGTGGGCGATTAAGGAGGATTTAACAATTTAATTGGCTAGTTGGACCAATAAATAATTACAGAAAGCCACTCACGTGAACCTTATAGATACTCCAAATTGCTTCTGGAAAGAAAAAATAGCTCTCGTAAGGAAGAGGTATTCAATGCTATGAAAGTGTTATTTGTGCTGCAGTAATTCGTTTGCAACGTAAATAATTAAGTTATATAATTACAGGTCCTTTAACAAAAGAATCAGCAGTGACAATAATATTCTAAAAGGAAAATATTATACGAAGATATTTTTACTATTAATATACTTTATACATGGTAACTATTAATTAGAAAAGATTTAGTTTTGACATTAATTGAAAATAAGTTGTTAATATTGCAGGAGCCTTGCCATTGAGGGTAGGTATATTTTGCATACTTTAGCTTAATAATTTTATAATAAAGTAAAAAAAATGTGGAAGCTAATACTGAAGTACATGTTTTTTAGTAATTTTATTTAAATGGCTTCTCTCAATTGTTCTTTCTTTTCGTTAATTAATAACATAGAATCCAACATTAAAGTTTGGTCAAATATTTGAGTTATCTTGTATGTTTGGATTCATTATTTTCATAGGACGCTCATAAAAATTTTATGTAAAATTACGCACTAGATCATTCTATGATCATTTCAAAAAAATCTAGGCATTATTATTTTGTAATGTTTATAGAAAGAATAGGTAATATATTTTTTATATCTTTAAATATTTTTTCAAGACGTACTTGGAAGGTAAAATAACATTAAACCAAGGTATATTAGTGCAGGAAATGACATATATTCTCTAGAATATCTAAAATATAAATTTCTGAATTATACCTAAAGGTAAATAATACAGAACATTATTTAAACCAATTATTTAAACAGCTTCTTAAAATATAAAAAAATGAATTATGAAAATATAAAAAAAAATATGAAAAACTTAACGAAGTCAGTAAAAATTAAAAATATATAAAGCAATCTCCGTAAAAAACCTTCCCACATATTTAAAGGCAAAGTGTATACATAATTTTGCACACCTTCTTTTAGTGACGCCTTTGTCCTTCAATGTTTAAATTTAAAAATGAGCTATCACTTCTTGAGAACATTAAACTAAAAACATAATATAGTGTATCTAAAACAATATTTAAAATTTTTATAGATCTAAATTAGCAAGTGACTATCTGGATGTCTGTCTAAAGGTTAGGCAAAGCTCAATATCGTTACTATTGATGTTTATCATACTCTTCAATAACTTTAAATTATGAAATACCGAGAAATTTATATAATTTACACAAAGTTATAGTATTTACTTACCTCAGTATTAACGATTTTTCACGTAACCCGTTCATTAAAAGTTTTTAAACTCTCAGTTACAATAGAAATTTGAAATTTTTGCAGCTATCTGGGTTCAATTCATTCTTTTTAAATATGAAATATTTTCAAGTGTGGGTACTACCGGTTTCGCCAGAAGTGACGTCGTCTCCGTTATTTTAAATGGAATACCCCATTTTTTATCATCATTTATCATTTATAGATTCGATATTCGATTTATTGAAGAGGAACTTTAGGGTTCGTTAATTTGTGTCAGTTAATCCGCGATTATGGATTACCAAGTTGATTTGAAATTTATGAAGAAAATTTGAATTCCCAAAATAGTTTTTTATATCCGAAATTTTAACTTAACTAAGGCAATAAAATACGTGCATAACTTCAAAGGAAATATTTGGGGAGATTTTTTACTTAACTAACGAATGCAAATATTAAGATAAGAAAGCTCTACTGAAACATGGACTAATCTGTGTTTCATAGACAACTACAGGTTAGGTGAATTACTAATCCGTGGGTAATTTTCTGACTTCGTTGGGGTATTACCTGACGGAGTAATTAATTATTATCAGACAAATCCATAACTATCCATGCCTTATAGACGAACGGTCCACCCCTAAAAAGATGCTTAGAAAATCAAGGTCACCGACCACGAGGAGAGGCCAGGATGAAGCCTTTTGTAATCGATGCATTGAGTTATTGCGAACAAAAAACCTAAGTAACATCTTTGTGTCCGAGTGGCAGGTAATTTGTTATTAACAAAAAAATTGCAAAATAAAAATATTGCAAAAAAACGCTCTGCAAACAATTTTCGAAGGTAAATCGTGTCCTTTTCGAGCTAGGGACGATTTAAGGGCGAAAAATGGCTAAAAGTTGACAACTTTAAAAATTCATATCTCAGCTCCTACCAAAGCTTTCGGAACGTTCAAAAGCGCAAAATGATCCTCGAGACTTATACTTTAATGTAGTATTTTTTTAAAACCAGCCCCTTTTTTTTAACCCGTTAAATTTGCAGTTGAATTTCGGCCGCTAGTGCCCACGCGCCACCCCTACGTATCGCTATATATAGATATAGCGCTGTCGTGCATATAATCGAATAAACGCTATTCATTCATTACTTGTTACAATTTTTACTATTTAGTATTTCTAACACTCATACATATTTTCAAATTCATCAAATATTGTATATCATATAATTATTTATAAGATTTAATAATATGAATATGATATTTAAATGAAAAATAAATTAATTAAACATTACAAAAAATGCATATATCAAAGGTATTTATTAATACAAAAAATTATATTTACATTTAAATATAAACTTAACTATTTAATAAAAAATCAATTTTCAGTCTCCGAATCAGTATCATCAGTTTGTATTTCTGCATTTTGACATTTTATAGAGCAATTGCAAAGATCGCAAAATTTGAAGCCTTGTGATAAGCAAGAACAAATGTCTTCATCGCTGCAGGGTAACTTTCCACTGCAGGAACATATGAATTTTTGTAACATTTCCATGGCCGTATCTCCTTCAAAATAATTGTAGCACAATACATTATTTTTTAATATCCAGCCATATTGTGTTGGGTCGAAGGATGTTATGCTTGCAGATCTTGCTTGAGACCATTCATTGATTTGCCATTTAACACGCATAACATGTTGTAACAATACAGGCTCTGCCGGAGGTATTGATGATGGTATTGGTATCATGATGATTCGATATTTACTATACTATCATGTACATACTAGCTATTGGGAATAATAAATATTGTATTAAATAACGAATAGCACAAGAATATTTTTCGAAAACTTACCTGCAGTTTTATACAACATTGAATATTCACATACGTTGCATGATTGTTTACAGACTAATAAAGGATTGTTGCACTATGACAGCACAAATGAATATTGTAGAAAATGTATTATTTATTTTTTATACATTATTTGTCAAATGTTCACTGTTATTGCCTGATGCCAGACAATAAACTAATGATCCATGCGACACCCGATCGCTGCAGTCTAATCCATTGCGCTTGTTTAAACAAGTTATAACAAGTAATTCGCATAAGCGCACGTTCGCGAAAACTCGGTTAGTTAATATTTTGGTTGACTATCTATGCGTATCCTTTTATAACATTTTATATTCTAGTTCTAAATAATTTTTTGATATAAATATAGTTATATATAGTTATTATTATTGAAGCTACATTAATGAAGATACAGTTATAAATATAAATCAATATATTTGTAACGTAATACATATTATTTTCCATTTAAATATGATATTCATATTATTAATCTTATAAATAATTATATGATATACAATATTTGATGAATTTGAAAATATGTATGAGTGTTAGAAATACTAAATAGTAAAAATTGTAACAAGTAATGAATGAATAGCGTTTATTCGATTATATGCACGACAGCGCTATATCTACATATAGCGATACGTAGGAGTGGCGCGTGGGCACTAGCGGCCGAAATTCAACTGCAAATTTAACGGGTTAAAAAAGGGGCGTGTTTAAAAAAAATACTACATTAACCCTCCAAATCCGGAATTTCCGAATTTTTAAATTATTAGTTTCTGTTCATATATTCCTACTCTAGAGTACCTAATAAACACATAATTATAATAAAAAAATAATCGCATACTTATCATTTTTGATATATAGCCCGTTGAAATATGGCAACACTAGGTTTTGAGCGTACTAAAAGTACACTATCAGTTAAATTATGTATATTTAAAAAAAAATAAGTTTATGAACACAGAATAATGTGTATGTATGTAAATAACTAAAAAGTAACAGAATGAAATATTTCAAAACAGGGTACACATAGACCGACATTGCACTTTTTGCATCCTGTTCTAACTATTGAGGTACATCCTTCCCCCGCGCACCTCCACCTTTTCTTGTCTGGTATTGGTATCACCAAATGATCGAGTCGATCATATCGAACATCATCCGATACTCGACTTAGGGAAATACTGTTTTTTGATAAAGCTATACGACCAGGTCCTCTGGACGGATTTCTGTATCGTATTAGATATGCTTGCACTAGTTCTCGTCGGAACTCTCGTTTGGTTATTTTGTGTCCTAACTGTTTGTAAAATATCCACGAATTATGGAGGGCTACATCCAGTAGCCAGGTAAAAATGGGCCAATACCACTTCTTCGCTCGAATTGATATTCGATAAGCCGAAATGTCTTGGTCCATCCTGTCTGTACCTCCCATATGCTTATTATATTTCGCGACTACATATGGTCTTGGTATTTGAACAATTTTTTTTTCAGACTGTGAATATCTTCTCACAGAGTTTACTGGATTTATACCGTAAACAGTTGACGCTAGAGTGACAGTGGCATTATCGTTCCACCTTACTATTGAAATGCCAGTTTCTCTACACATTTTCGAAACATATGTTCCTCTTTCCATTTTTTGGCGGATTTTTTGTCAATGATAGGACATGTCTTAGGAAGGCGATTTTCCCTTATCGTTCCAGTAGCACCATAGCCCCTTTCTTTGAGATGATAGAGTAAAGGTAACCCAGTAAAGAGATTATCAAAATATATATTATGCCGGAATGTTTGATTTGGCAATTCGTCAATCATCTTCACTAATGGTGCGGCACATGCACCAAATTCGAAATTATAAGAGTCATTTTTGTTTGGATTACTTCCTTGATAAATATCAAAGTTTACCAAGTACCCAAAATCGGTGTTTAGGGACCAAACCTTATACCCAAACCTAATGGGCTTTCCTTTTATATATTGTTTGCATGGATGACGTCCATAGTATTTTACCATTGCTTCATCGTAGTCCAAATTTTGTGTTGGCACAAAATAATTTAAAAAGTTTTTCTTCAATTTTTGAATAAATGGTCGCAGTTTGGCCATTTTATCTTTTTTATCTAGTTGCGTATTGTCTGCGCAATGAATAAATCTCATAATCTGTATAAATCTGTCTCGTCGCATGGTATCAGAAACTAATTTATTGTGCATATCTGCCCCTGTGTCCCAATAAAATCTTTTTCCGGGTAAAACAACATATCCTGTAAGGTATAATATTGCTACAAAACATCTAATTTCGTCTTCGGTAATATTTGGTGACGGACAGTTGATGAATCCTGCGTATTTATTTGATTCTTCTGCCAGAAAATTGATAATGTCGTCATCTAAAAACATCTCAAAGATATCTACCACTGATTTATTACAAAATTGTGTGTAGTTCGGAGCTGCTGGTTCTGGCTTGTTATCAATTATATCACCATCCATCCAGTCGAATTTGAGGTTTGCTTTTATAGATAAGGTGGGCTGCTTGTCATTTTCGATCGGATGTACAGGAGCCTCAGATATTCGATAATTGTTTTCGAAAACAACTTCCGCCGGTGCTAATAATTGCTTTCTATTTAAATTATCTACAAAACCTCCCTCGTCTTCTTCCCCGGAGTCTTCGTCAGTAAGTTCGGTAACTTCAGGAGGAGAAATATATATTTCTCTTACTCCAACATTGCCAATTTCCTCATCTGAATCCTCTAACATAGCTAAAGCTTGTTGAAGATCAAATCCAGGCCTGAAAATAAAATAGTTTGAGATTAGTACCTGAAAGCCTAGAGTTGCCATATGGCAACGCGCTACAAAAACCATCATGGAATCTAACCTACATAAAATGTATCAAAGTAAGTAAACTATATTGTTAATATAATGTATTAGGTAATGTTAACTTCTAATATTAGCATGCAGTTGCGATTAGAATAAAGAATACATTACTTACTCCCATCTGATGTCCATTTTTTCATCAAGGAAAATAATTATCTAAACACAGACACCTTGAACACTTGTCAAACGTATTTAATTAGTGCGATAGTACCACCTATTCATTGGCGGGAATCTCTAGCATGGTTTTATCTGTCTGGCAACCCAAAATACAGATGTGTTTAGATTTTGAGTGTATATAGATTAAATGGTGTTTCTGTTGCCATATGGCAACCATAGGCTTTGAAGGGTTAAAGTATAAGTCTCGAAGATCATTTTACGCTATTGAACGCTCCGAAAACTTTGGTAGGAGCTGAGATATGAATTTTTAAAGTTAGCAACTTTTAGCCATTTTTCGACTTTAAATCGCCCCTAGCTCGAAAAGGAAGGGTTCTATGAAAAAATGTCAAGTGACAAAAAGTGTTTATTTTTGCCCAATTTACCTTCGCAGAGCGTTTTTTTGCAATATTTTTATTTTGCAATTTTTTTGTTAATAACAAATTACCTGCCACTCGGACACAAAGATGTTACTTAGGTTTTTTGTTCGCAATAACTCAATGCATCGATTACAAAAGGTTTCATCCTGGCCTCTCCTCGTGGTCGATTACCTTGATTTTTTAAGCATCTTTTTAGGGGTGGACCGGACCGTTCGTCTATTATCAAGATTTTATTTGGAAAAACACGGATTAGTAATTCGCCTAACCTAAATTTGTTTATGAAACACAGATTAGTCTATGTGTCAATAGAGCTTTCTGATCTTGACATTTGCATTCGTTAAGTAAAAAATCTCCCCAAATATTTACTTTGAAGTTATGCATGTATTTTATGGTCTTTAGTTTAAGTTAAAATTTCGGATTTTTGGAATTCAAGTTTTCTTCATAAATTTCAAATCTAGCTTAGCTAATCAAGGATTAGCGTACGCTAATGTTCCTCTTTCATAAATAATTGAGATTATCTCCAAAACCGTTGAATATAAGTATAGGAAGCCTCTATATCAATCGACGCAGAATTTAATTTTACCTGACTAATAAAATAGTTGGTGTTCCATTTGAAAAAAAGTTTTCAATCTTTAAAGATTATTATAGTGGCCGCAAAATTTTGAGGACCTTGTGCATAGCTGGGTCAAATGTGGCACAGTGTCTGTGAATACATAACATATACTACTAATAATGCAAGTATGACATTTCCAGCTATATCACATGATTAATCTGATGGGTTGAGTCAAATCAGATTACATAAATTCACACTTTTATTTATCAAATACAGTAAAAACTCATAAAGGATTAGAAATAGTATACATTTTAAAATGTAAACGTACAACGTAAAAAGTAAGGATACATCGCAAAAAGAAAATATACATTCAAATGTGTTATTCTACACAATTCATTTAAATTTTTTTGTGTATACAGATATGAAGAAAGCCTATGTGAATTTCCGCAATTTTCAATAAAAGAGACATAGCTTACAATGTATTAATGATAACTGAAATTCATTTTTTATAATTTTAGGAAAATTAGGGTGAAATCCTGTATCCTTTATTTCGTGTATCAAATTTTTTTAGCAATTATTAATTATTTTAGATAAAGGTCAATTTAAAAGTGGTTAATTTTCTTTGGCTGGAAAAAATTATAAAATAGTATTGTTTTAATAATAAAGAACTTGAAAATTAATCATATTTCTTTTTATTTAATTTAAACATATAAATTAAGAGATTTCGAGATTTCAAAACTTAGAGAAATAATTGAAGATACAAGTCAAACTTATGTATTATTCGAGGTATTACCTGACAGAACATCTTGAATATTTACATAGAACTCTTTCTCAGGATTATGATATAAGGTTTGATAGATCTGTCTTTAGTAATAAAGAAGATATGACCAAAATAGTATGTTAACAATAAACTCTTTAGACTCATATGCCATATTTCATTTTATTTTTTATCACAGAACTAAGGAAATACTTTATTCAAACATGTAAAAATATATGAGATTTTCCATCAAAAAATATATAAATTTCACTTGTATCTTCGAAATGGATAATAACCGTACACACACATATATATATATTTTAATAGCTATAATTCATTAATGATTAAAATATTGTTTTTGGGAAAAAGAAAACGCCAACATAGATATTGGGTTGGATTACTTAATTAGAAAACACAACCTTTTGATGTGACCGCTTTCGAGCGGGACCCGAAAAACAAAACTCCAACTGTCGCAAAACACGCCAGTCTTCAAAAAGTGTGCGAAAAGTTACAGTTTTGTTTTATTCGACACAAGTTTGTGTTTAGTTTTTGTTTTGTCCGTTTAGTGGAAAACCGCCTTTTTGAAGCGGGACCCGAAAAACATAACTCAAACCGTCGCAAAACACGCCAGTCTTCAAAAAGTTTGCGAAAAGTTACAGTTCTGTTTTATTCGACACAAGTTTGTGTTTCGTTTTTGTTTTGTCCGTTTAGTAGAAAACCGCTTTTATGATCGCCTCTATAATACACCTTTCAAATTTCTAAAAAGATAACAAAATGAGTTCAATTTAGATATTAAATTATTGCAATATTCTTTCCAATTTAAACACCTATCTTCAACCCTAGGAATTGTGCACTCGTACAACTAGAAATAGAGGTATCATAAATATTAACATTCAAATCCAAACAAGTTTTTTGCCGCGATAAAATACATGTATTTCAGCAGTTTCAAAACAAACAGTTTTAATTAAATACATTTTTAATTAGCTTTTTTCTCTGAACTTTTGGATACAAGTTTGTGACATCAGTTAACTTAGTTTTTGCTCCTTTTTCACCCCTTTAAATTTTTGACGTAAGTTCATTAACACCCTGTATATGCAAAATATAACACAACACTATTCTAAAATACATTAAATATATTAAATTTCGATGACGCGAAATTGAACTGATAATATTATTTGATAGAGAGATTCGGTAAACTATAATGAATGACAGAAGTGTAGTTGACATGGTCCGAGAAATCTTATGTGCCTTCTATTCAATCGGTTGCTATAATCAATACGATTTGATGTCTTGATCTTGAATTTGCAAATTTAATGATTTTATTAAATACTTTCGGGCTACTTAAATTTCGAAAGAAAAAGAAATGTAGACTTCCACTCCCATACAATATAAATTCTCACATTTAATTCTATATTGCGTAGCCTTCAATTTTTAAAAATTTCACATGGAAATAGAATGACATGTGTACGACACCTAACAAACTCGTCAATGTAATGATTGAAGGGCATACAAGCAAAGTAACGTTTAGTATAAAAAAAACGTTTAAAATAATAGTAGTACAACTGACTATGCTGTGCGGCATATTTCAAGCAAATTACTATAATACACGTAGGTGAGCAAGCAATGTAATTCTATGTTTTAGGTAATATCTGGCATAAAGCATTGCCCATATACAATTTATACATGTATGTCGAGAGCTATTAGAGTGATTAATTCTATGCCGGCCCTCACACAGGTTTATTTAGATCGAGAAGGGACTTTGACAAATGAAATAGTCGGTGGTCAGAACTACAATTAGTTTGATTCACACCGGTTTTGCATATGTAATATATGGTCTCAATACCCCTGCCCATTCATCTATTACATTGTCAAATTATCCACCTTCTAATTTTAGAAGGGCCATCCGCAACGTTGTTGGGAAATACCACAGTTTCTGCGACAGCCGGAGGAAGTGAATTATTACACAGAATTTATTGATTCCTCTGCATCTTTCAGTCATTCGAGTTAATTATTAATTTAAATGGATTACTGTTGCAGATAAGGCAGCGATTACGTTGGATATGAATTCGTATGAAAGTTTGTTTGTACGGAATCATATGCATTCGTATGAAATGTGGTATTAAAGCAACTAAAACTTGTTACAAGGCGCCCTCGTATGAATTTCTGATGCGTCCAAAATAGTTCGTTTTGTCGGTAGAGTTCATACGATTAGCACGACATTTATGAAAATCAAATATCAAAAAATAGATGGAAAAAAATAATGTCGTAGTTTGAACAAATTTAATCAATTTTTTTTACAAATTTTAAGAATGGGGTAAAATGAACAAGTTTTCATAGGAAAGTACATTCCTACGAAATTTGGATATGAACTCGTTGTACGACAACATTAATTTTTTTTTCACGAAAAATCCTAGTCAAATTATACATTGTTTTCAAATAATTGAAATGTCATCTTGACAATTCCCAAATCTGCATATCTCCCAAATTGTATTGCCTATATCGTTACATTTAGGTACCTATTCTAAGTAAGTAAACGAAAATTGTAAGAATTTCTGTATAATATGCCAAAAAAATCGATATTTCAACGCTCAGAAAAAAAGAACAACAGTTAGTACGGAGACGTGATCAAAGCAACTGTCAAATTTGTATTGTGTCAGCTCTGTTTTGTTTTAACTGCTGTAGTCAAACTACAGTCTAAAACTAGTACCCAACAAACGCCTACCATTTTCTACCAAGCATATGTAAACAAACGTATTTGTTTTCGTCTGACGTATCTATATATTTCAATGTTTAAATGAAAAGAAACTTAAATCCAAACATTTCTTTTGCATTCATAAATTATTTTTTATGATTAGAACTGGCACAACTGTCCGTGCACCAAAAGCGTGCGGATTATAATAGGCACGTAACATAAAATTAATTGTTATAAGATTTATGTCTTTGTGAAATACGTAAGTTGTTCTACATTATCACCAATAGGGTTGTTTTCATAATTCAGAATTTGGTTCAAATAAGAATTTTTATTAAGTAAATAGTATAT